ATTAATTTTAATTAATTTTAATTAATGTTAAATTAATTATTTAATTAAGTTAATTATTGAATTAATTAATTTAAATCCTTAATTTCCGTTAATTATCTTCTCATTTTAATTTTACCCAAAACTTTTACAATTGAGCAATTTAGTCCACATATTTCAACTCTTTTCAAATCAATCCTTCATATTTTTGAATTTAACCAAATCAGTCCTTCATATTTCAAATTTAATCAAATCAGTCATCTATGTTTTGTATTTAATCAAATCAGTCCTCCATGTTTTGAATTTAATCAAATTAGTCCTTTAACTTTTTACTTATGCTCACTTCGCATGCATGTTCTTGAATTTGTCCATTTTAGTCCAAAAAACTAAAGATGTTTCAATTTGGTTTATCCTTTTTTTTTTTTTTAAGCTTGCTTATTAAGACTTAAGTACAAATATAATTAATAAGTTGAATCAAAACCTCAATTTTAAAGTATGCAACCATATTTAAACGGAGGATTGTGAGGTACGCGTATGCCCTCCTCACTCCTAACCGAACCCCCGAACCTCGATTTCTGCGCAGACCTGTTTTAGGTGACTTGTCCCACCTTATAATTTGGACGAGTGGCGACTCCCTTCTTTTTTATATTTTCACACTTAATCCTTTTGAAGTGGTCGTCAACAATTATAGACACGCTTTATTGACCTCAATAACTTATGACTAATCAAGGGTAATGGCAGGATACCAACTTTGGTCAAACAACTGGGAAAATCCATTGCCGTTCATCAGAAATACTCACCAAATTGAGTTTAATACTAGGTCGATGATGCTGATGATGCTAATAAAAGCAAGTCCAACAAGAACTTGATTGAATTGGTATTTACTAATTTAAAAATCTTAATTTTAAGTTAAAATTAGATTTAAACCTCTATTATATCATGTAGCTAACTTTCAATGCACTAAAAAAAATAAAAGTAAAAAAAATATGGTGCATGCAGGTTAGTGAAGCTGGAAGAAGTCAAGAGAACAGGCGCAGGAAGACGTCATGCCCTTATATTTACACAGTATTTGTGGAACTTAATTCGTTCACTTCTCTTTCATATTTTTCTTGTTTTCCAATGCCATTCTTCTTGTTCGAGTGGATGTAGAGACTTAATATATAATAACTGAACTCGAACGGTTAAAAATGAAATTGTAATTAGTAGTACAAAACAATATTTTATATATTTGATATTGTTATACCCTAAATCAAGTCTCATGAGAACTAGGACATGTGGAGACATTGTAGAGATAATCTTATCAAAGTTGAGTAGGATAAATCTCACTAGAATAAAAATACCCCAAACACCAATAAAATAAAATTGTATTTCTAGAATAACTGTATTTAAGCATCTTATAAATACCTCAAGGATCAACCTAAGAACGTAGATTATTTTTCATCTCTATTCTCTCTTCATTGTATACTCTCTCTAACAATAAAGATCTCGGTTCCACACCATCTATTCTATTTTTTAGTGTTAACATTTGGCCCACCGTGGGGCCGAGTTCTTGTTCCTTGATGAATACCACATGGTAAATTTGGGAAACTCATCAACACCTCCTAACAACATTCAAAATCCTAGAAATAAAAGAGGAATAAGCACCTCTTCTTCATCAAGAGCAAATTCCAACAATAATGCTATCAGATCTAAACCAGAAGCTCTATCAATAGCATCACAAGTGTCAAGGCTTGCACAGGATATGGAGAAAACAAGGCAAAGCTTGAAGGCAATCGAAAAGGCCATAGCATCCTTGACGAACACAGCAAATATTCTGACACAACCTGAGGAAATAGGAGAGAATGCAGAGGATTTCGTCATCCAAAAACACAAGGGCAGAGAATTCAGTGCGTGGAAAGAGTAATTATGATGATAGACGCTACGCACCTTCAAGACCAACAGAGCCAACTACTGATTCATATCTGTAGCCATCCTCTACTTTCACTAAGTACAAAATCCAGGAAAGAGACATGCGGACAAATACACAAACAAACGGAAGAAAAGGTGCACCACAAAATCATGGAACTTCTGATGCTCTGTTATGCAAGCAATTTCTTGCAACCTTCAAGAAAGCAGCGCAAGCTTGGACTCCCCAGAAAACCAATCATCACCTATTGACAATCAAACAAAAAATAGATGAATCATTAAGAGCCTACATAGCAAGATTCCATAATGAAGCTGTGAAAATTGAAAAGTTAGACCAAAGTGAAAGATCTCCAAGTAAAGAAGCATAAGAGAAAAAGCTACGAGGAGATCAAGCATAGTGGAAGAAAACACATGTTGATTGTTGGAATTCCTAAAGCACCACTGTTTGCATAACTCTGCATCATTCAACAGAAAGCTGCGTAGGAACGAATTAACAACTTACCAGATAAGTTTCATATCTTTTTGTGATACTTAAATAATTATTTTCATAAACTTATCAATTATGATCTTGAAAGCACTAACAATTTTCTCATGTCTCTAAAGTAATTAAGATAACAAAATCTATACAGCTTGTTTCTGCACTAAACCTGCGTAGGAGAAAATCTTAAGATGATACAAAGCGCAGGCGATCTACTACCACAAAGGAATACATGTTTGCAAGACTTTCAAACTTAGAGTCATATTGCACCTAATAAATAAACATGCTCTTGCAAGAGATATATAAGCAAAACATCTGCCACATGCAAGAATGCACTGGATACCAAAATCTAGTAACTCAATTATGATGTGACTCAAATACCTACGTAGCATTATCATGATTGGATAGATAGAAAAGCAAGCACTCTGTTAAAAGGCAAAGAATACAACTACCTCCATATTTGAAAAAGCTTTGTCATAATCACATTCAACCATATCAAATGATGAATCAAATTATGCATTCACAAGGCAAGATAGACATCTCAAAATTCTACTTGCACAAATCTTAAAAGAAAGCTGCGATCCCAACTAAGTGTATTTACTCTTCTAAATAATTTTCTAATTTGCAATCTTAATAATCATGCAAGTTATTGTGTTTCTAAGAAAACTAACTATTTTCTTGAGAAACTTTTGGGAGAAAGCCACATAGGCCAAAAAGCTCCAAACATAGGAATTTAATTACAAGATGCATAGGTCTAACAAGAGATATGAGACAAAAATGGACACAAGCAGAGCTCTAAAGGAGCAGCATATAGAACATGTTGATTGTATGAAACCTGTGATATTAGACTCAGAGAAACCTGAAAGTACAACAGATATCAAAACTGATATAGATCTTGAGTTTACCACACATTTGGAGGAATGTTTGAGAAATTAGAAGATGTGTTTGCGTGGAGCATAGGGTTTCCACAAACTTAACATCAACCATCAAATCCTCTACATGTGAAGTTGTAGCCAAAACAACAGAAGAAGAAGCTTAAGCAAGCAAAAGCTGTGAGCAAGTTTAGGTGTACATAAATACCCAAGCAAAAAGCTGCAAGCTGCAAGCAAGTTTGGATGTACATAAATATCCAAGCAAAAGTTATGCAAGCAAAAACTGTGAGCAAGTTTGGGTGTACATAAATACCCAAGCAAAAAGTAAAAGCTGCGAGCAAGTTTGGGTGTACATAAATATCCAAGCAAAAGTTAGGCAAGCAAAAACTGTGAGCAAGTTTGGGTGTACATAAATACCCAAACAAAAGTTACGCAAGCAAAAGCTGCGAGCAAGTTTAGGTGTACATAAATACCCAAGCAGAAGTTATACAAGCAAAAGCTGTGAGCAAGTTTGGGTGTACATTAAATACCCATGCAAAAGTTACACAAGCAAAAAGCTGTGAGCAAGTTTGGGTGTACATTAAATACC